CCTCAACAGGGTAATTGAATTAAGCAAAATTCAGCAAAAATAATTTCTATAACCACCTATAAAAACGCAATAGTGAATAGTTACGTGCTATCAATTTTAATATTAATTTTGTTTTAATAAATTAGAAACTGAGCGCAGGATTTATCAGTCATTTTGGTTTTTACTATTGCTCGTTCACTTTCCCCATGCTCGATGAACAATTGGTTTTCTCTTCCTCTTCTTGGCTTTCTTCAATTGTTACCCAAAAGAACTTCATTTTATTTGTTGTTATCAGAGAATATCATAATTTACGTTCCAATCTTTCTGGAATATTTTCAAGTCAGGTCGACTCTGAAGATTTCTACACTCTTAATCTTACATTGTTTCAACTTCTTAAGGCAAATACCTTATTTTCATATGAATGTTTTTAGGGAAACATAAGTCTTATTTTCAATTGGCTTAAAAGTGATTGCCCACTTGTTAAAAAAGTCAACTCCAAGTAGGAATATGTAATTATAACTTTTAGGTTACTTTTCTTGAGGAAGATCCACGTTGCCATCAGATACACTAGTCCTTCCGAAGTTAAGTACATATTCGATGACACTTCCAACGACAAAAGGAGCACATTTTTTTCTATCTCTGAATCCAGTATTTTTGGTATGCCTCGCGTCTATTTCACTTCCTAGGATTACTTCTTAGGAAGTTTTCTCTAGGGTTTCACTCTCTTATGTTTGAAGAAATGGTTAGATTTCTAGATCTGTTTCATGCCACATATGACTCTTTCTCGTCCGGTGGTTCGATTGGGTATTCTCCTATTCTTTTTTCTAGTTATAGCCATGCGAATCCGAATGATGCTTCATTAAAATTAATGAACGAAACTATAACCGGAATCCGCGAGTCTTTTTCATTCTCATCTGAATCCGTTAAGGTTTGTCTTATTCCCTCTTACGTCTCCATTTCGGCCTACACGGCACGATTTAATGTGTTATAATGGTATTGTTCTGGATAAAGTTAGTGTATTTTGGTTGTTTTTTAACCAGAGCATTCAGCTAGTCTTTATTTTTTGATTCTGCACTAATTCCTCAATTTATATCTTCATTTTTTGTAGTTAAAAAATTGGGCCAGTTAACGTGTATTCTGCTTCATATTTTTTATATTAGATTGTATTATTAAAGCGAAGTTCTTCAAAATGATGAAAATTGTGTTTTGTTTATTTCCCATAAAATCTTTCTCACCAGAATTATTTGCAAGGGCATCTCGATGCTGTGGGTAGAAAGGATCTAACCAGTGCCGAACGACTTTTGTTCCTCTATTCCGAGGCTTGTCAGGCTAGATATGCTCCTGGAAAATCTTATTATATGCCCTTCTCGGCTCCAACTTTGGCTTGTCTCACTCTCGCTTCAGGTCTGCCTGCTAGGGTAGTTGAGCCTGGCCCTTGGGACGATCTGGCCCTCTCTCGTTCTACTCACACAACACCTTCCGCTCTATGGACTCATATTGCATTGACTTCTGCTGCAATGCACCATTCTTTTGGACATAGGTATTTTTAAAAATTGAATTGTCTATCTATGTAAAAGTGAGCACAAGGAGAAAATAGTATTATGACAAGGGAATCTCATCTTTCCTATTGCTATTTATCTTGGCTTTTATCTTTAGTAGGCTTTCAATAGCTCATATCGCGTTTAAATAAAATGGATATTATTAAACAAATTATTCATCTACTCTTTTTACCATTCACAGTTCCTGTCCAAATATATGACAGTCTTTGGATAGATAGCGCTTGATATATTTGCCCATTCTATTTTCAAGTTGTAATTGTATGATATTGTAAGGGCTAGGATAGGAAGGAATAGTCTTCAGAAAAGATTTTTATGTCCGTATTTTGTATTTGATATATTGTAAGGCATATTATGACTTATCATCATACTGAATTTTTATTCGTTATACAACTTCTAAATAATTTTTAGGATTAATGTCAGTTTGCCAAAAAGAGTAGAAATTTATGCTAACTTGATATTTTTCACACGATTACATTTTTCACTAATATATAAGTCAACTAAAGTTTTTATTTCCGGTCAGTCGAAATGTCTCATTATTTGGAATCATAACCTCTTGCCTTAATTACCATTTATACTCTGTCTGTCATTGATTCTACGGTCTTTTACATAATATTATTCCAGCAATCTTTTGGAGAATCTCAGAAATTGTCCTGTGATTTTTAACCTTTTTACTTTTCAAATGCTTCAAAGAATACTTCAATGGATTAAGGTTTGCTGACTGGAGGGAAAGCCATGAAAACCATTACTCCTTCCTCTTTCTTCGACTTCACATAGGCTTGGCACGTTTTCGATTTGTATTTAAACTCATTGTCCTGCTGGTAAAGAGTCATATTCCACACAAATTAAAGCCAGAGGTGACTGCATGCCTTTTCGGAATAGCTGGGTACTTCTCTGGTCAATGTTTAGTTAACCAGTCACCAACTCGAGTATGGGCAAAACATCCCACCTGAATATTTTCACCATCATATTTGTAGGCCTAATATTTCAGGTGTCTGTCTTCTTAAATAATCTCTCCTATTCCAATCGTAAACTTCACATTTTCATTCATGTGTGGACAAAGCTTTCTTGCTGTCTTCAATAGTGAAATTTCTATATTGCTTGGCCTATGTTAAATTTTTTGTCGAAGAATTGGTTTGGAAACTGCTACTGTCCATTGAAGAACACAGTTTGCCGGTTGCATTTTGTACTTTTGCCAACTTGGATAGGGCGTTCATTGTTCAACTTTGTTTCAATCCTGGATGCAGATTCTATCTTGTAATAGAGTAAGCCGGTAGTTTCGAAAACCTAACTATAAATGAAACATAAGCTTTAAAATATCAATGTTTTTATAGCAGTAGGTGCAGTAACGCTTATGGGGACCATATTAATTCATTACACCCTAAATATTTGCTTTTAAAATATCAACACACCTCAAGCACTGTTTATTATAAGCACAAGAGTTGCCATTCAAATAACTTAATTTAAAGTCATTTGATCAAACGTCAAATTTTGGGTGAATCAATTATTTGGATTAATTAAAATTTCATTCGACAAATTTCAAAAGTTATAACACGTTCGATCTATTTCATTTCTAAAATTATATTCTTCAAAAATAAGTTTTAGCCGAGTAAAAAAATTATTCGTTTTTTTATGTATGACTAAATAAACATTTCTTGGCGGTGTACTCTAGTGCACATAGAGGTCAAGTCCACGTTTCAAAAATGCTGTAATGAAGATATTCAGAGAATAACAAACAATTTCGTTTTGCTATAAAAACTTGGCTTCGATGAATCTATTAATAGTTTGATGTTGTATTGCTTTACATTTCGTTTAAAATGGTGATAATAAGGGAATCATGAATGGGTCTTACGGGAAGCTGAAGGAGGATTGCCTTGGGGCGTTGACTGTATAAATGTGCCAATAGTTCCTCGGCGCACCACTCTGCGACCCCAATGAATTCTTGCTGAGCTTTCGTCCATCGTTTGACGTAAGTTATCACAGCGGCACCTGGTGCACCTTGCCTAGGTCTCATCAGCATCTTAAGTGGGAATTGAACTCGGCTAGTTCGTGTATAATTTCAACATGTTGCCACTATGGCCTACAGCCTAATTGCTTCTTATAAGAAGTTAGGTTGAATATTCATATGTAAATGGAAGTGAGTTGACCTCGTTGTCGCAACTTGGTCTTGTTTTCAGGGAGACCATGTAGAACTCACCTAGTCCGAACTCGTCTGCCATAGTAGTTGTCATGATTCCTAGCATCAGACAATGGATTTGGTACATTCTTAAACGTTTCGCCGGGATCGTAATCGGCATCATCAGTAAGCTTTGCCATTCTTCGCACCAACCTATGAACTCGTCAAAGACATAAGTGAAGTCAATCCCTCGACAAACTTTCTGCCGAAAACAGTTACACTATCACTCCTTTTTCTGTCCTGCCTATCTATCGACTGTCTACCCTCTTATCCCACTGCCGCCCTATCACAAATTCTGTCTTGTTTACACTCATCGAAATGTGTGCCCTTTTGTGGCAAATCTAATGTGGCCTCATCATATTTGCTATTCATCCAGATCCCTCTCTTTTGATCGGCTGATCCGACTCGGGCCTCCAATTCGGATCCCCTCATTGTGTCGTAGATCCATTTCTTATTCTTCTGGTTGACCGATCTCACTCGGTTCCAGTCCTAGTGTGCATTTCACTCCAGGCGCTATTTCTTAAGGCCATAGAAGCACGTACACTGCCACCTCACTGAACAGAGCGCCTAAGCTCTGATTCCAATGCTTGCTGATATAAGGCCTTCCCTTCAAAGGTAATCTTCTTGATTAAATCCATGTTATCTTAGCAAACTGTGGACGCCTATCTCTGGTCGCATGCGGCATCTCAATTTGATTTTTAGTACATTTTGGCCATAACGTCGAATTTTCGTGACAGTTTGCTTATCCGTCTGCCCAGCTGCCTGGTTTATTTGAAATTGACATTAATAAGTGACAACATCTTCGCCTTATTGCCGAAAACCCCTGTCCCCCACTTTCTTCATCGCGATCCCTTTCCCTCCGGTTAGCAGTAGATCCTTGATCCAGGCGTTTCCTTTTTGCTGGTCTTGTCCTATTCTTGTTTTCCCCGAATTTGCTTAGGAAGTAGGCAAAGTTATCGCTAACTCTATCTTCCTACAATCTCCTGTTCATTAAATTTTTCTCCCCAAGGATGTTAATGGCCTCCCTAATCTTGCGCTTCCTTGTGTTGTCACCGTATGGAGCTCTTCTTTCTGTTGTCTTCCAATTAATCTCGTTTCCAGTTTGTGCGATGTGTTCCGCTAGTTCTGATCTTTCGGTATCCATTTTCCTGCCGAGCCACTGATGTTCCTTGATTCGTGTGCTAATTTTTCTCCCTGTTTCGCCAATATATTTCTGATCTCAGGCGCCGTATGATATACAGTAAACTCCTGAACAATCCAATTTGTCTACCCTTTCATGTTGAGTTGGTAGACTTGTGACAAGTGTTGATTTTTCTTTCATGGCCACCTGAATATTCCATTTACTCAATATTGGCAGTAGTTTCTGAGTTAGTTCGCAGGAAGATAGGCATATCCACTTTGGTGAGTCCTTCATCGTCCTTACTGTTCTTTCATAGTCCCCGTTCTGCCATCGGCTTTTCACGACCCGTATGTTTCTTTTTATCACTTTGATTTTGACGAATTAGAAGTTGTAATAAGGCGACAGTGGGCCAGGACAGACAGAGGAGTGATAGTGTAAC